AGCTTTCAACAAAACCTGATAATCCCTAACTTCTCCTGCATACAGCCTCCTGCATCTCTCTCTCCAAATGTGGCTCACCCACGCCTGCCATATAACCCGCCCTGATTCAGCAGCTTCCGTCACTCCACCAAGTTTCCTAATCAAGAAACTCAACAACCCTTCCCAATCTTGCACCCTAGGCATCTGTAGAAACCTGCAAAACAACGCATCAAACAACTGTCTCGAGAACGAGCAGTGAACATAGAAATGATCCCTGTCCTCTATCCCTGATTGGCATAAACAACATGATAGATCACCCGAGAAACCCCATTTCAACATCTTCCTTTTTGTATTAATGCTCCCCTGACTACCAGCCAAGTGATAACCCTGTTTCGCAGAATAGCCACTCCCTTCCACAAGATTTTCCACCATGGTACTCGTTGCTGATAAGGACGAAGTGATTTCCAAACCTTCCTAATTGAGTATCGAGGCATAGCAGCTTTATCAAACAAGAGGACATTATCACGGACTGAAATCATTGCTTCCACCCTACTCCTCATCTTTAAGAGCTTTCTCCAGTTCCATGATCCTGATGTACAAAAATAGGACCAGAGATCCCTGCTTTTCAATTTATATTGAGTGATCCAAGCCACCCATAGTGAGCCTTCCTTCAATAGAATTAACCAAATATGTCGGATCATACAGGCCTGATTCCAGCTATACATATCTCTCAAACCAAGACCCCCCCCCCCTCTTTCTTAGGGTAAGCCAGCTTCTGCCAAGCAACATTTTCTCTCAGCTTCACACCACTTCCAATCCCCCAGATAAACTTACTGCAAATCCTCTCAATCTCCTTCATTACTGCCTTTGGAAGCAGAAACACAGACATCCAAAATTGAGTGATGCTGTATAGCACAATTCCCATCAGTTCTATTCTCCCTGCATATGAAAGAGTTTTTGCCCCTTCTTTTTTTCCCTTGTGATATTGTAATTCATATTTTATATTCGTTTTGAAAAAATACGTCTTCATATTATTAATTTATAAATGCTTTAACTACGCAGTTTCTTCAATTTCAGTAGTTCTATTAAAAATTTTCTCTATATGTGTTTATAGTGGGCCTGACTTATGCTTAGAAAGTATGTCTTTGATTTAAGGGTAATGTCTATTTTTTATCCAAATCTTTTTCAAAAATTTTAATATTATTCAAATCTATTAAAATTTTATTAATTAAGCCAAATCTTTCGTAATGCATCAAAATATTAGTCACTTTTACGTTATCGTTAATAAATTTTTCAACTCTTTTCTTAGTTAAAATATTAAAATTTTGGAAGGTTGACCTTCATTTGCCTCTTCCAAGTCAGTATCATGTTGCCAAGTCAATATTACTAACAAAATTGCTAACCGAAAGTTAACATTTAGCTAATTCTTAGTATTTCGATAGGTTTGACTAATAAAAAATAATCCGAAAAAAGTTTGGGTAATAAATAATGATAACCCTTGATTTAATGATGCATATACGTGCCAGTACACTCACAGAGCTTAACCCTCCAAGTTCATCAGGTTCAATGATGAAGATCTAAACAAGGTGAATGATTGCTTCCCCTGACCTCATGTTCTGAATTTGATAGGTTTTGGAGGAATTAAAGAAAAAGCAATATGTTTTTCCTTACCCGAAGACTTGGAAATGGTTAACAATATATTTGGGTGTTTTTAACCTGGTTAAGTAGTACATATAAGTAACATAGTCAGAGAACGGAACAAAATCACCTGCGGTAGTCGATCAATAGGCGAACTCCGATGAGAGAGCTCGTTTAGCCACAAAATGGATAGCTCTATTTAACTTCCGAGGATTAAAGGCACAGGAAAAAAAAGGTGAAGGTCAATACTACCGGCGAACATCCTCAAGAATAGCTCCACCCAAAGCATGCTTGGTCTCGCTCGCCAAAACTCGCTCCAATCACCAATTGTGAGTACGATAACTCGATATTTGCACATGTTTTTCCACCATTATTACACTGTTTAAGGATAGATTCTCGCGTTTTAAGCTGATTTCACGCTAGGTTGTGCTTTTATGTCACATTTCAAGACCTGGATCGGAAATGAAGGTTTGGGAGCAAGTTTCGAGTAAAAACGGAGAGCGGACGAGAAGAGGAGTTGAAGGACCAAATTCCCCGCACAGGCCATTTAATCCCCGACCGGGGATATTCATCGGAGGCCGGGGATCGCGTCCATGGACCTCCCGATCAGAGAGCGTAAATTCCGTAATCGGGGATCAGGAGCAGCGGCCTAGGAATCTCCTCTACGGGTTAAGTGAAAACGCCGCGTTTTGGTGATCCTTAGTCATGCATCCAATTCCCCGATTGGCCGAATGCGACCAGGGATGACAAACTCGGATTGATACAAGTGAAACATGGGTTTTGAATGAGGTATTCGATTCTAGAGCTGAAAATAGAGTTTTAGAGAGAGAAAGTGACGAAGAGTGATCATTGAGTGCCCTAGATCAACTTTTCCCACCAGTGTAGTTCAATTCAAGCATCCAGGAGTGACGATTGGCAACTTGGAGAAAATTTCTTCTTGTCTACACGATGATTTCCATATCTAACTTTGCTTTCCACTCAGGGGCGGAGACACAGTGTAAGTAGGGTGTTCCATGGCACACCCTTGGGTCGGGGCTAGAACATAAAAAAAATAGGGGGTATTAGTTTATGCTATTACTAGGATTTGAACATGAAACAACCTTACTATTAGTTTTCAAATCTTTCACTAAACCACAATTACTTATGTGATACACTAATACGTTTTATTGCATATATATAATTTAACGTTTAGAAATAATAAGTAAATTAAATTAAAAAACCTCATAATTACATGCTTATTCAAGCAGTAATCAAAACTTTAGCCCTAACAAGCAAGCTTCTCCCAGTCCCACCCTTGACCCTTCATCTTCCTTCTTTCCTCTTTCTCTTTGGCACCCCCTTACCCAATATCCTGGCTACGCCACTGTTTCCACTCACTCTCTATGGAGTACTCCCCTCTTTCACTTAGGTATATAAGAATCCTAGATTAGTAATGTTATGAAGAGTTGAATTAACCCACTTTCAATGATTGATCATCTTTTATCTAATTGAGGAATTGATTAAGAATGATAGTCTTTACATAGGTTAATAGAGCAACCTGAATTGGAAGTGGTGAATCGACTACTTTAGTCTAGAATTCGATTCATTGCTCTGCACTATAGTAGAATCCAGTAGAGGGGGTTTGAATCCTATCGCCTTAGTTAGCTTATACTAGTGGAGGTTAGTCACTCACCTGGTATTCTGACTGAGATGTCTGGAGCACTTTAGTCGAGACTTCAAACTACTTGAGAACTTTCTAAAGTATAAGTATCAATCGAATTGACTTAGGTGAATTACAACTTGGCCTAGATACAATATCGGGGGACTCATACCTGAGTGAGCCTTCTTAATCTGAGAAAAACCATTTACTTTCGTTTGCAATCAACTTCACTTCATTTCAACTCCTAGATGATAGGATTGCACGGAGTAACCAATATGCCTAGGACTCGTGATTCGTTCCTAACTACACAATTAAATCCCGTCAAAAGCCCAAGTACAAACTCTAGAAGGGTGTAGTATAGGGCAAGCGTTTTAATTGTCAACCCAAGGCGGTCCATGTACTCCTACTTCAATCGCTTAAATTTTTATTTAGCAAACGGTTTGGAGTTAAAAGCTAAAGAACTACAGTTGTAAATAAGCAAAGAAAGTAAATTGAGGTGGTTTCAATATGAGAAGGCTTTACCTGGGTATTGCTCCCCCTAGCCTTGCATCAAGATTGACCGAAAGGAATACTATTGTGGAAATGTGTGCTCATACACCTTTAGGAGGTTGCAACTAGTGGATAAACCCTACTCTCTTAGATGATTAATTAAGGAATATCAAATTAAGCTAGGAAACTAGCTCTCTTGACTAATCAACTAAGAGTTGCTAAGATCACACCCTCGAAACCTAACCTGGACGGCGAAATAATGACCAATCATGGTAGGTTCATGGCACTAAATCGATGTTTGAGGCTTTCCCTCATTTTCTAATAGCATAAGTTGGTTAGCTCGAGATTGTTAGGTGCAAACTGAACATGTCTATTGACAGGCGAATGTTGTCATTGATTACCTTGCCACCTTATGTCATTCTCTTTCTATAGGAATTCACATTTTTTAAACATTTGACAGTGTGCTTGCGTATAGGTTGTATCAAGACAGTCTTAGGGTTCAGACGACCCGTTTAGTTAATGAATAAAGACTAGGTGGATTTAAGCGATTATAACTATCATTAATTTTTTATACAAATTTGCACGGATTTGATTTTAGGTTACTTTCTAAAAGGGCTCGTACTAATGAGTTATGTGGATACTAATATATTAAAAAAAATTCTTGTAATATAAATTAGATACTTGGATTTTACAATAATAATAAAAAAAGACCTTATAATAATGCGACCAGATGGTACAAGAGTTATTTACTTTAATTTGTAACGTAACATTTTTCTGGATAACAACTCATGTCATCTCGTTACCTAATTAAAAGCCCTAATATTTGTAACACCCTTTTTACCCTAATAGCCTTAGACTCAATTTGGATTATGAAAAACACACCTAATGCAAAAGTGTGCATGTTTTAATATTAATTCGATACAAAAATCGAAATCTGAACCCCAGTACTTTCAGAATTTGTATAGTGGGGAACTAGCTCAAATATTAGTGATAATCTAAACTATTAATGTCATTGATTTTGGGCGAGTTTCATGTATACACAAATATAATATGAGCTCTTTATATTCCATAAAAAAAAATGACCACTTTATATGAGGCGGGTGCAAACCATAGCAGGAAACAGAAAAATACAGCTAGAAACAGAAACAGAGGACATGGAAATAGAGCCTGTAACCTTGGTTTTTCATGAGCTCGACGACGATGGTTAGATAATGAAATACTATACTGTCAATTTTGTAGCTCGCATTTAACAACCTCCTCATAACAGCTTTTACTATACACATTTCTATCACATCTCCACAAAACAAAAGAAACAAAATAAGGCAGGGGAGGAAAAGAAAGAACAGAACAACACAGGCCAAAAAAGGAAGAACAAAGAAAACCCAGAAAACCCATCAACCTTGTAAATTCAAATTTGGAAGCTTTCCCTCTTTAGGATTTCTCCTTCACTGCCTATTTTACATCTTCCCAGACATTTTTCTACCTAGAAAAAAACAAAAGAACAAAGAAGATCAAGAAGCTATTCCTTTCTTCAATCACTGAACTTACTTTCCTTCCCCCTCTTCCCTCAGTTGAAGGGTTTGCAGATCTCATGTCTTGTTATGTATCGGATCAGACCCTCTTCGAACCCTCCGTTTGCTCGATCGATTCGCGTCGTAACCCTTCTCGAACCCTTCCGATCCCTTCTTCTTGGTATTCATCCCTTGGTGTGTAACTACATCTCCAAGAACACGGGCATGGTACTGTTGGAGTTGTACTTGTTTCCCACTCCCCATGAAGATGATTTCTCTGCCATGAGCTACATGGCGAGGCTGAATTGTGAATAGCCATATACATATGATGAAAGCTAGCAACCTTTGAGCAGCTACAACCATCATCAGTCTGAAAAATTCAAAGCTTCGAGCCAACAAGAAGGAAGGGACGAGAAGAAAAGGAGGCGTGGTGGTGTTTTTTTTTGTCCCGTTTCAGGGTTTTGAGGAGGGAGAGAATAAACAGGGGATTTTAGGCTTGGAATGGGCGGAGGAAGCTATTCTTGTGTGTTCTTTTGTGATACATTTCCTGTAGATATAACATCTAAGCATATTAGTACAGTGTTTGTGCGCCATTCTTTTCTTTTCTGTGGATTTGGGAAGAGAGCAGAGAGGGTTTAAAGCAGGGAAAAGGGGAAAGCAAGGGGACCCCAATGGGAATTTTAAGATTCACCCCAAATCATGAGAGAGCCTGGCTTTTTTTTTTTCCCCTTGGAGGGAGAATACCCACATTTTTAAGGCTGGTCATTTGGAAGGGAGAATCTGACATTTGATGTACCAAAAAAGGGAGGGTTTGGAACAATACCCTCGAGAAGCCAAGTATACAATACGCTTTTCCTTTTGTTAATTCCCTCCCTTTTTCTTCCAAAATCATAATACGCTTTGTTTTCTAGTTTTGTCGATTGAACAACACGCCCGAGCTGGCTTGTCTACTCTTGTCATATTCTGCCATGTGGATTCGACCATGCCTATGTGGACGAGTGTTAATATGACACATACCAACAACCAGCGTCATTTCGAATTGTTGAAACGGGCGCATTACTCTACTTCACTAGGCTTACTTACGCTTTTCTTTCATGGTCATTTAATTTGCTCATTGCAAATAGGTTTATCTAATCAATCGGCTTCCTTCTTCTCTTTGTGGTAAGCCTCACATCAAGTATTATTGCAAGTCACCAAATTTTCAGAAACTTAGAATTTTAGGTGGTTTATGCTACCATTGTCCTCATCCCTCAAGTTCGAGTCTTAGTCTTGTCCATGTCTCTTTCTTGGCTACTCCCGTCAACAAAGTGTCTTTGTTTTGACTAAAATACTGGTGATATTTTCTATTCCGACATGTGTTTTTTGTTGAGACTTAGTTTCTTAGTTATCATCTAACGTGCCCGATCGATCACAAGTTTCATCTCCCACCATGTTGCTTGCAGTGAAAAATCCTACAGTGCAAATGTTATTGTCTACTAATATCCCTCCAACTCATACTGGCCTCCTCCCTCTAGCTCAACTCTCATATACAGATGGCCTCCAACTCTTTCCCCCTATGGTGATCTCTCTAAGACTAATCCCACATCAATGTGTTAGGCTTGAATTATCAATTTTGTTCCATACAAACCAATTAGTAAGTAGGTGACATGAAGGAACTTATTTACCCTCGCTTTCTCTCATGACTAGTGATTTTATCAATTTGATGTCAATGATGCCTTTCTTGAATGGTTACTATAAGAGGAGGTATACATGTCACGACCTCTGATTTTTTTGGGATTCAACTGCTCTGTATCAGGTATGTCTTCTTCATGAGGCCATTTGTGGCCTTTCTTAGACTTCACTAGCATGGAATCTTACTCATAGTACCTTTAGTAGTGGCAAATAGTAATGATCTAAACTAATGTCTAGGGTTGTATTCTACCGGGCCTCCGTGTCTAAACTTTAGAGTGATTACTACTATTTTGTGAAACCAAGTGAGGTTAAGGTGTCCGTAGTGTTGTTCCTTCTAAAGTAACAAGAGATCATACGGTCTTAGATGTACAAACAATAAAATACAATCCATAAAAGTAAAGAGCAGCAAGGAAAGGGTGAGTGAATGAAAGCAAGTAGTAAAGGCGTTGTCTATGTTAGTTTAACCTTGAGTGATTGACCAAGTACCACATCGGAAATACAAGAGAAGGAGCCCTTGTATATTAGTGTCCACCTAGCCCAATTAGTACGAGGCCTTTTGGGGAAGGGTACCCAAGAGAAACTGTGCAGGCTTGGCTCAAAGCGGACAATATCGTACTAATTGAGCAGCCCGATTTCGACAAGTGGTATCAGAGCCTAGTTTGGTTCGGGGCGGTGGAGCTCAGTTTGGTGGACCCTCATTCGGTGACGGGAATTTGAGATTCGTGTCTGTTTGGCGGATCAAAGAGACTTCCGCATTTTGGCTACATCTGGTTTGGTGGATCAAGAGAGATCAGCGTTTGATTTGGCAGATCAAAGACAGTTCTGCGTCTGGAAAAATTCTTTTACTAAGAAGCCCATCGATACAAGGTGTCTGACGGACCAAGATAATCGTTGAAGTGACCCTCATTCGATGACCTCGGGATTTGAGATTCGTGTCTGTTTGGCGGATCAAAGAGAGTTCCGCATTTGGGCTACATCTGGTTTGGTGGATCAAGAGAGATTAGCGTTTGATTTGGCATATCAAAGACAGTTCTGCGTCTGGAAAAATTCTTGTATTAAGAAGCCCATCGATACAAGGTGTCCGACGGACCAACAACGTTTGATTTGGCAGATCAAAGACAGTTCTGCGTCTGGAAAAATTCTTGTAGTAAGAAGCCCATCGATACAAGGTGTCTGACGGACCAAGATAATCGTTGAGGTGAGGACACGAAGTTCGTGGTCCTTGGCTTGAGGGGAGGATTGTTATGGGACAATCCAAGTACCACATCGGAAATACAAGGGAATGAACCCTTGTATATTAGTGTCCACCAAGCTCATTAGTACGAGGCCTTTTAGGGAGGATACCCAAGAGTAAAACCGTGCGGGCTTGGCCCAAAGCGGACAATATCGTACTAATTGAGCAGCCCGATTTCGACAATTATTACTAATGATAGACCTAGTTATGGTGGATTGGCTTCAATTTGACCTACCTCAATCTCCTAGGGGCATACACCCCATATCGTATGCAATAGGGGTAATAGAACTGAATCGTGCGAGTGGTCTCGCGTCATACACAAGAAAAGTATGAAGCAAAAATATCAAAAGTAGTTTCGACATCGATGAACTCAAGAATTCTCTTGATTTGGTGATATAGTGATTGAGCAGCCCGATTTCGAAAATTATTACTAATGATAGACCTAGTTATGGTGGATTGACTTCAAATTGTCCTACTTAATCTCCTAGGGGCATACACCCCATCTCGTATGCAATAGGGGTAATTGAACTGAATCGTGCGAGTGGTCTCGCGTCATACACAAGAAAAGTATGAAGCAAAAATATCAAAAGTAGTTTCGACATCGATGAACTCAAGAATTCACTTGATTTGGTGATATAGTGATTGTCTTAGGCACATTGTCTTGTCAAACCTAGGGAAAATATCAATTATCCTTAAACATACATGCATTTTGGCTCATAAAACATGCATGGGCAATGATACCAATCACATATATAAGTGTGATCTCTGAAACATATATGCAATTGGTATAAATAAGCAAGGATGAAAAATCACAAGCATCACTTTCAAAAAAGATATATACTGATTAAATCATAGTACAAACATAACTAGGATCCCCCACCTAAACATCAGGGGGTGTTTAGCTCGATATATAGGGAGGGAATACATCATCGTGACTGACAACATGCTAACAACTTCTTATCTACCACGAAACCAATTGATAAAGTTTAGACTATGGCTTGAATATGATTGCTGACTATCCCAAATATGGAGTTAATCTGATCTATTCAAGCCAAGATGCCTTTAAAACATAACTCATATCCACTTAATTATACTAAATCCCTATACTCGAATCATTAGGTGTTGTCGATGTGTTACAATGAATTTTTACTCTTCCGACTCTAACTAAGACACTTTACTTGACATGCAAGGAAAGAGGACGGTTCCAGAACTGCGATGGGGTCGGCAGCGGGCTGGACCATCCTACCTGGTTTTGCTTCATTTGGGATGAAACTTGGTCCACACATTCAACTTAGTTTTCGAGGCTTTCTTTACAAATTTGGGTTTGAATGGCCAATGATGGCCTGTACGATTCCTAGGGCACTGATTCCATCGTAGTGAGTGACCCAAATTTACATGGCCCTAAGGAAATGAAGGAAAACAGTGACTAATCTGCCAATTCTTCCCCTCCTGTAACTGACTCTGGACGCTGACTCTTATTCACAGACTCGACATGAAATATAAACCGAACACAAACAGAATTAAAATACAAACTACTTGTTCCTTTACCGACGTAGTGAGTGGCCCAAATTTGATCCAGTCGTAGTGAGTGGCCCAAATTTACCTGGCCCGAAGCTAGGATCATATTCCCTAGGATCTCTCACAATTGTTTACTCCGGTGGTGAGGAACGAGTTCTATGGTAGGTTTAAAACAATGTGGAGGTTGAGGTTCTTCCGGGATTGAGATTCCCCTTTGTTTTAGAGAAAAATAAAAGATAAGCAAACCATAAAAGAAATCTATAGCTAAGGCAAGTGGGAGGAAGCAGGAGGAAGAGGCGTTGCACAGACAAGCTCCTCCTAGAGTTCTTGGCTCATATCTCGATCCTGACAACATATGAGTTGTTTGATCTTTATGTAATCTTGTTCTACCTTGTGCACAGGCTTCTTGCATTTATTTGATAGCCAACCAGGACCCTACGAATGTCTCTTTTGAGACACCATGCTAATTGATTGAAAGATGATCGATCGTACCGAAACCATTGGTTTAGTTATCGTCCACATCGTAGCTGCTTTTGGGTGTTGAGCTGGTGGCCAGAAACTGGATCTGTTGGTTGCCGCAAACAAAGAATATTGATGATGGTGCAATTAGGGATGTCGAGTGGGAACGGCTACGGTGCTAATTGTACAATAGTTAGCACCGTCCTAACCAAGGGAAAAACTACTACTAGTTTGAATTAGTAGTGATTTAGCTTAGATGTTGTATTGATTTTATAATCATCAGTAGTGATTTTTACTAGTTATCACGGTGCTAACCCCTATAAGGGTTAGCACCTAATCCCATCCCATGTCGAGTGGGAGCAGTGATTGAAGGCAAATCAGTACTGATTACTTTTTTATTTAAGAAATGGAAAGCTTTATTTTGTTTCCTAGTTTAGGAGTGGGTGTCGGGCGCAGACAAGAGCCAAGAAGACAAGGAAATGTTGATTTAAAATGGTTGGAGCCAATACAAAAAGAAACAAGCCCTTGCTTTTTGCCATTTCCTACGCGATCTCATTGCCACTTTAGTATTCCAAACAAGATTAAAGGTAAGATAACCTAACGGTAAAGTTGCTGCGACAACGAAGGTTTGAGAGTTGCAGATCCAAGGTTCGAATTCAAGCGAGGCCCGTTTGCGTTCCCGGAGATACAAGG